CTTGGAGGGGGAGGACCTGAAATGGGAGCCCTGACAGCAGGAAGGGGAGAGCAGCCTATTCTTTCCCCATTTCTCCCATCTTGAGCGACTGCTCACCTGGCCCCAGGCACCTGGTTTGCCAGACCTGTTTGTTCAAGTAATTTAGTCATTTCCGCTCAGAATCTGTGATCAAGCTCATTGAAGCATCTCACTAATTGCTCCCCCTCGCCCCCCGCAGACATCCGGGAATAACAGCATGCTCTGTGCCTGCCCAGCCACTTTGCAGAGAGGAAAGTACTTAATAATTCATAACAGTAATAATAATAATGATAGTAGTAGTAATAATAACCACAGTAGTAACAATAGTAGTAATAACACAACAATAGTAGTAATAACACAACAAAACAATGGTAATAACATAAACATTCTGTGATTATGTGAAGAGTAATAACAACAGCAATTCATAAAGTGTATTCTTATGTTCTCCATGTCTGCCTTGACACAAGAAGCAGAGCCTCACTTCCCTGGGGCACTGGGTGCAAGAGGGAGGATTTGGGGATTGCAGGGGGCACTTGACACCCCTCAGAGGGACAGGAGGGGGGATGCTGATGCTTGCAGATGGGGCAGGACTGGCACAGAGCACGGAGATTCTGCAATATGTAGCTGTGCCCTCTTTCTTTCCTCCCTCTTTAAAAATGCAAACTTGTCCTTTCAGCTGAGAATCGTTTTTACTGACTCATGCTCGGTGCAGACACGACCGAGCTGCCTCCCACGCCAGGAGCAAACACCTCTAAGGAGCCCGGCTGTGCAGGCGCCTGAACGGCTTCGCATGCCCAGGAGTACCCATTGATGCCCTCATCCAGAAAATTACTAATATCCAGCAGTATTGGCAGGATGGGGCCCCTGAAAAGCTGCAGGGTGGGGGTGTTGCAGGGTGAGAAAGAAGTGCATAAACAAGGTCTGGACAGACCTTGATAGGAAGATGCAAAGTGTTTATCTATAACCTGCCCACACCCAACTGGCTGCTGGGCTCTATGAGTCAGCTCGTTTCTTACAGACTTTGTGCCAGAGATGAGCTGGGGTGGATTAAAGTCTTCACTTTATTTATCTGCATTAAAAAACATGAATCCTCCCCACGCTGGCCAAAAAATACCCATTTTTTACAGCAAAGCACTATTTCCGTAAGGCAAACTTCCTTGGAGGACTGTGCATGGGTGTAGGGGAGCAGGACATAGGGGAGCAGGATGCCCAGAGCACAGGCGAATTCCACCCGGTCCCTCGAAGGACAAGGGCAAGCAGGAGCGGGGAGCCCCCGCTGCGGGTGCCCCCAACCCTTTTGCACCACTCAGAGACACAGACAACACACTGGAGACTTCACGGGATGACTTTTATTGGGTTGTTACATGCCGTAGGCTCTGCACTGCATTCTGCCGAGATGGGGCTGGAGGAGGCTTCTCCTGCCAGCGCTTTAGTGGTACTTGCGGGCCAGAGCGTGGGCCACGACGCGCACCAGCTTCTGCCAGGCGGCCTGGCACTCGGGAGTGAAGTCCTTGGCGAAGTGGGCGGCCAGGACGATGATCAGGATGTCACCCAGGAGCTGCAAAGGCAGAAACAACCCTGGTCAACCGCACTCAGGACCCTTCGGACCCGCTTGCAAGCATCCAGCCCAGCCCTGGGGAAACTTCCCACTGCTTCATAAGAACCTCCCTGGACACCCTGATCCTCTTTCAGATGGTCCTTAAGTTTGTTCTCTAAAGATTCAGGTTTTTAGAAGTGTTTAGCCTGAATTTTCGGACTTCAGAGTGCTCTGAAGGTGCAGAACTGTGTGACCCCCATCTCCTCTAAGTCCCCTTCCTCTTTTGCCTTTCCCATTTAGCTGTCACTCTGCTCCATGCCAGCTTTTGCTCTCACTTCTTTGCTTTCCCTTGGTTGAAACCTTTTCCTGCCCCAACAACTGCTTTTGCTTCCCACCCCCCACCTCCTTTTCCGTGCTCAAACCACCTTCTCACCACTTTTCTTCCTCCTTACCACCCTTGGCTTCACCCTCCGGATGGCTCGCCTGGAACCGCAACCACTGAGCCTGGCAGCAGCGCGGGCCCTTCCCTCCCTTCCTGCCCCTCACCCTGGCCTCCCGCCTGCAGTGAGTCCCTGTACGTGACGAGGAGCACGGGGAGCAGTTGGACCCCGTGCGGGACCATGTCTCACCCTGAAGTTCTCGGGGTCCACGTGCAGTTTGTCGCAGTGCAGCTCGGACAGCTGGGCAAAGGTGTTCTTGATGCTGTCCAGGTTCTTCACGGCGTCCCCGAAGGAGGTGAGCACCTTCTTGCCATGGGCGCGGACCATGGGGTTGCCGAGGATGGCGGTGGGGCTGGAGAGGTTGCCGAAGGAAGCAAAGAACCTCTGGGTCCAGGGGTAGACGATGAGCAGCCTGGGAGAGAGAGGGATGGGGGACACGAGCAGAGACATAGACACAGAGCGTCCTCCACAGAGCCGATTCGCTCCCGTCGTGGCACCCAAGCCCTCAACCTACCTGGCCAGGGCCTCAGCACCGCATTCGGCCACGTTGACCTTGCCCCAAAGGCCGCTGATGAGTTGCTTCTCCTCGGCTGTCCACTGCACCATGGTGTCGGCTGGAGGGTAGCGTGTAGCTGCAGGGAGGTGCGCAGGAAGTCACGGCTCTCGCTCCCAAGGGGATCGCCTGCGGGCCGGCACCTCTCCCCGTTCCCCCTTTTGTACCATCCGCCGGGCCCCTACTCCGTCCCGCGCACGTGGGGGGCCCCGGCACCCCCAGGGAGGGGACGTGGCGTCAGGGTGGGGCCCGGGGCACTGTGCCCAACGCCGCCACCGCCGCCACTGCCGCCACCGCCCCTGGGCCCCTTCTGTGGTATTTGCCCCATGCCGGGCCTGAGCGCAGCCCCTGTCACTGTGTGTCCCTCTGCGACCCTCAGATGAAGGGGTGTGCAAGGCTTGGGTTGACCTGGTGGCTTGCAGGTGGCTCAACGCCATGGGGCAGGGCAGAAGACCAGGACGTGGGGGTATTGGGTCTGCCCCTCTGAAAGCCCCAATGTGTGTGAGTGGTTTCTCTTTCTTCCTCTTCTTGGAGAGCCTGCCAGGCTTGAGTTCTCCTCTTTCACTTTTATTATTTGGCAGTTTGCTCACTCCAAGGTAGTCCGCTGCGGTCAGTAGGTGCTTGGGAGGAAGCATTGCAGCACATTGATGACCTCCACGGTCTCGGTGTGCAGAGGCCCCAGAGGAGGTGGGAACACTGGTCATACTGGGAACTGCATGAAGCAGCAGACCTGTCCTGGTGACTTTGCAGACATCAGAGGAGCAGGAATAGGAGCTGATTTCCCCATGGTGGGCCAGGGAGCACCAGTTCTCTTGTAACAGTTCATTGGGGTCTGCAGCAAAGAGCCCTGGGGCCAGGCAAGGACGGGGGTCTCACTGCCCCAGCAGCACAGGCATCCCCAGGATCCCCCCATCCCAGTCCCTGAGGAGGAAGATGAAAACCTGCTTTGGAACTATTCCCTCTGCTTTCTCCCCCAAAACGGGGTGTGAGCACTCAGGGGAGAGGAGCCCACTGCACAGATGACCTCCATGTGTCCCCAGGCCTTTCTCTGGGTCTGCAGGTG